AATCCCCAAATAATATTTGAATCCAAAATTATTCCACTTGGAATCCAAGATTACTTGTCCATTCCAATGTTTATATATTTCTAAAGTATCTAATTCAGTAAATATACTATTTGCTGGCTTATACAATAATTCTTTCCAAAATGAATATTCATTGTTGTAAGTAAGTAGTCCAGGATATGGAACTGTCAATTTTACACATGATTTTGAAGATTTGTTAGTTAAATTATCCATAGTGAATTTACAGTATCTTTTAATATAATTATATTTATAATAAAAATCTATAAAGCTTTTTTTTTTATAAATTGAATTTCTAAGATCTATAGCATTATAAAAAGATTCTCTATACCAAGAATAGTTCTCAAATGGAAATAATATCATTGAAGTCTGACTAAAGAATTTTGATACCAAAATATGATGATTTTTTTCTAGTCTTGGTAATTCCAGTATAATTATTTTTAATAAACTAATATTTAAATCAGTATCTTTTAAAAAATGACTAAGACAAGAATCAAATACTTTTTCTACTACAATGCTATGATTATCATCTAATGCCATCTTTAACATTTTCTTTCCGAATTTGTTGAAATAATAAAAATCATTGATCATCTCCAACATTTCTTTAGAAGGCTGTCTAGAAATTTGATGTTTATCCATATATGAATAATTAATTTTATAAAAACAAACATTGAAATCAAATAAATAATCTTCAATTGTATTGTTCTCAATAGCTGATTTAATACCCTCTGTGTCATCAGCATATGTCACAGATTTTTTAAATATTTTGGAATTTTTGTTGCTAACTGATAAAATGTATATGTTATACATGAAAACACCACTTGTTAATAAAATTAAATCATCATTATTTAATAATTTACAATATCTGAATACATCATCACTTTCAAGACCATATTCATCAATTGTTGATGATTCTTCTTCCATTCCATAATTATTTTTTTGAACTTTTATATTAACATTTTTAAATTCATGGTCATATTGGATTGACCATTTAATTGATTTTCCAGTTTCTATGGTAAATTCTGCTGGTGTTTTATAATTCAAAAGTATTTCAAATATTCCTTGTAATGTTTGTGTTATATGTGAACAATGATTGTTCTTTAAATATATTTTTTGTTGAATATCTTTGTTAATTATTTCTTTAATGTATAATTGATTGCTCATAACTATGGTTATTTTACCATCTGATAAAGTTGGTCCAAATAAAATATTTTTTTCAGATTCATTTACATTTGCATTATTGAAAAGATTTTCAATAAAATACTCTGTAATATCCATAAAGTCACCAAGATTATATGGATCCATTAACTTGTAATTATAACTCTTTGTGTTTTTATTATAATATATTACTAATAAATATTCTGATTGATCTGTTGAATAAATAAAATCACATTTTTTCACATCAATATTATATTCCAATTGAGCTACAAAATAGAAAATATATTTTATTAAATTTATAAATTAATATAACATGCAAATAATAAGAATATATAAATACTTACTTGTAGAAATAATAATATTATTTTTTAATGAATATACAACCAATGTTGAACCATAATATAGTGCCATTATTGTTTTATCTTTATTAAATATAATAATAGTGCCTCCTCTGTATATTAAATAATAATTATCTTGATATGACATTGTTGCACCCTTCCATTGTAATATAAATGAACTCCAAGCACCAATTAGAATATTACCAGAATTTACACAAATATTAGGACAGCCCATATAATAATATGTTGATCTATGAACCAATTTGTCATTTGCATCATTACTTATATATGAAAAATTGTGTAAATAACATTCAGTAAAATAGTTACCACCAATCATTAATAAATCATTATTTGTAATAAACTTCCCATCACGATATTCATTATGTATTTTACCATTAACTATAAAGTCACTGTATTTTTTTTTTTGTAAAGTTAAGAAATTCTAAAAATTTAAGTTAAATGATTTAAATATTTTATTACTTTGTTATTATAATAATAAAAGTATATATCAATTAATTAATAATTGCTTACTATAACACCCATCATATAAAATTATATATTTGTCATCAGAAACATCACTTATAAACACGTCAACAGAATCATCTCCTTTTTTAAAATCATCTTCAGAATATTTAAAGCAATCATCGTTATCTTGCTGGATAGTTCCTTTGTCAAGATCAACTGTCCATCCAACAATATATTTATCATCCTTACTGTGAGTTACTAAAAATTTTAAATTAGGACTATACTTTATTTCATCAATATGTCGTTGAATAGCACCATTGTTTGTATTTAAATTAGAGTTATGATTGTCTTCTTTGATAATTGATGAATTATTTTTTTCTGTATTCAATACTGTTACTACTTCTATAATGTCATCATTATCATTCGAGTCAAAGTTATTTTTTTCCATTTTTTTTTTTAAGAAAATTGGAAATTTTCAGTGTTGTGAGATCGTGTCCGAGTCACAAATAATAATTTCCGCTAATATATATACTGTATAGTAAATCAAAAAACAATGTCTCACTAACAATTCCTCGTTAAACAATAAAAAAAATAAAGAAAATAATTATACAGGATTAGTATAAGGCTAGTCCCTTATTTCTTCGGGTTTGTTTTTTTATGGTTAAAAATAGGTTTATTATATATACTATTATAAACACAGTTATAAGAGGACGAAGACAACAAAATAACTAAAAAATGAAGTTGAGAAAATTAAACATTATTTATATATCCTAAAGACTCAATCATCTAATTTCCGGGAACTTTCTTGTTCTAATTTAATACTTATTAAATCACTATTTCACAGTGTACAAAAATAAAATCTAAATTTATTATTCATTACCTTTTTCTTAATCTGGAGTATACATTACTCCTATTGTTCTTTGCGGTTTTAAGATAGCGTTAATATTAAACGTTATATTGGATTGGTAAGTTGAGAAATTTGGTCGTACAACATCCAATGCAATCAAGGAGTTATTTATAAAGTTTATACTCTCAGGCAAGTATCAAGTGAAGCTGGTTTAAAATCATTCTCTACCGCTCTATCCTCTGATCGGAAGGAAGCACGAGAAGGACATAAAATTCGACCAGATATACTTACTTGGTATGGGCGAAAAAGTTCTCGACTTTCAATGATGAAGAAAGTAATATATAATAACTTCTCAGGAAATGCCTATTTTAAGATACATTTTTCGTGGATATTTTATTTATATTATTATAGAATGATCTGCAAAAATACACAAACTTTAAAATTAAAATTTGAAATCAAACCTTTTTCTCACATGAAGCGTCATTTTTCTTTTTTATGATTTCGAAGTTATAAAATAGAATTGGAGTTTAAAACAGTTTATTTAATTAGAAGTTCAATCATTTGATGTAATTGAATTCTCGAATTAATTATGAATAGTTGGAATGATTTGAATAATACACTCGTTTTTGTTGTTATTTTAACAAGTCATACAAACGCAAAAAAATTTTTATGCACAATTAACGGGCAATGTTCGTTTCAGGAAATTTATTATCCGCTAATATAATACTAAATCGAGATAACAGTTAATATCATGTAATATGTTACATTAAAATAAAAATTCACAATATGC